TCCCGGGGAAGGAAGGGGGGTTACTTGGGGGGGAGCTGGAAGGGGGGTTACTTGCTGGGCTTGCTACACATTTCATCACATCAGCAAGTTTAACCTGTTACGTAGCTATATAAGGCAGACACCCACTGGGGTGTGGGTGCTTGCTTTGCGAATGATTGCCAAGCACCACTTTCTGCGCAGAAATAAAGATTAAATTGGATCCTCCACCCCTGTGTGTTTATTGGCACAAGCGCACCGGGCACGAACTCACTGTCCTTTGGGGACAACAGGGCTAGGGAGCCCAGAGCCCAAGAAGGACAAGATTTAGATATAGGGGCCAGAGGGCTTGAAGCCTGGAGCAGGGCAGAGACAGGGCCTGGGTCCCAGACAGAGACAGAGTCCAGGTTGGCTCAGCAGCACAAGAGGGGGCAGATATAAGGCCTCAGAAGGCAGACAAGAAGCTGGGAATCCCAAAGCTCGGTCTGGTCAGTGGACTAGAGCTAGAGGGCTTGGCAAGAACTAAAAAGAGGAGGCTGAGAAGACCAGAGCCCAACACTGGAAGAACATCAGGCTCACTCTAGGTCCCTCAGGCAGCCCCCTCCTTTCCAAACATTAACATCAAAAACATGGCGGATGAGTAAAGGTGGTGAGGGCCCCTAGAGTTGGAGCCAGGGCAGGAATTACGTGGCCACCAGGGGGCGTCACAGCTGCCCCTGGGACCTGAACCTGTCACACCCAAAAAACACTAGACTATGTAAAGGAAGCCCAGATATTCCATTCATGCTATTCTACATTAGATCCTAACCAAAGGTCACCAAAAGGCACTGTATTGGCTACGTGTTCAAAGTATTGTTCTGTGTGTGGAATGCGTCTCCCAAACACAAGTGCTTTCCTAATGCTTAGATCAGAGGAAGCTGATACAAGTCATTTTAGTTCTGGAGGAAGATTGCTTTTACATTCTCAAGGATATGACACTTAGGCATGATGCCGTTAAGCAAAAGCTGTGATCGAACTTCATTAACATGTTTGCATGTTCTTTGTAACATATTCTTTCCATGGATGAACAACACTTTGGAGGGACCAATTCCACAGGACCATTGGGTTTTGAGTAGCTCCTCCATCCATTGTGCCAAAGCCATTGTACTTTACATATTAAGCACTTGCCTTCAATGAGAGTTACTTGGTGCTTAGCACTTTCTGGAAATCAAGTCCACTTACAAAAGGAGCCTAAAGAAGGATTAAACACTGCAAAAATGATGGATCTTATGGCTTGTGAGCACTTGGTCCTGGCTTCTCCTCAGCAAGCTCAGGCCAGTCTGTTTCTTAACTCTCTGATCACCTGCACTCCATTGCCTCAGCTCAGGCAGCCACTGCCAGGCAGACCCTAAATCTTTCACTTGGATTTACCTAATCCAGATCAAGACTTCTCTGTTTTTAGAGGCAATATTAAGTGCCCCCTCCAAAAAGCACCTAACAGCCCAGAGCCAGGTCCAAAACAAGGCTTTATTGCTTGTCCATGTTCATGACCATAAGACAAAGTGATAACATGGAATTGCACATGCAGTGTTCTGCTGAAGTGTTAGTTGAGAACCTGAAAGAAGAGGGTTTCCCATTTCCCACTCCTGGATCAGGGGTGCTCAATATCCAGCCCACAGGCCAGATGTGGCCTGTGGTGCAGTGTCATCAGACACTCTCCTGCTGCAAAATTTCTGAATCCATGGGGTTCTCTGGGCCCTGCATGCTAGGATGTCTGATCCTAGCACACAAAGCCAGGCAAGTGTTCACTGGGACCCCTGAACCCAATCCTAGATTCAGGGGATGGGAGGGAGTGGTGCTGGGCACCCAGGACTTAATTCCAGCACACTGTACAGGGAGGGGGCAATGCCAGGCCCCAGGGCCCAATCTGGTCCATAGACCAGTCCTATACCACTCATCTGGCCTGTGAGGACAAAAGGTTGAGCACCACTGCTCTGTGTAATGCAGTTTCTTAAGACACTTACTGTTTCTCCAGTTTCTTCTTGGTTTCACTGAGCAGCAGCACTTGTGAGAGACGAGGATGAGGGCTAATGTCAATCTCTTCAGCAGAATCAGTTTTTATCAGCAGCTCCTTTATCACACACTCAAATACTGTCTTGTAGGTCCTGCAGCATAAGAGCTACAAAATACAGTACACATGGGGATGCAGTAGGGCTGGGCTTTAGAGACATGGCCTAGAGTTTAATCCTCCTATGTAGTATTTGAACAGTAAAAGGAAGATAGTCTTAGATGAGGCAATACCATCTTTCCTCTCTACTCAGTGTTGGTGAGACCCCAACTGTAGTACTGTGTTCAGTTCTAGGTGCTGCACTTCAAAAAGACATGGAGAATCTTGAAAGGGTCCAGAGAAGGGCCACAAGAATGATTAAGGGCCTGGAGGACAAAACTTATGAGGAAAAACTAAGGGATCTGGGACTGTTCAGCCTGGGGGAGAGAAGACTGAGGTGGGACTTGGTGGCCATCTATAAGTATGTAAGGGGTGAATATCAGGAGCCTGGAGAAAAACTGTTCTGTAGGGTGCCCTGGGGGGACAAAGAGCAATGGCCATAAATTGTTAGAGGATGGTTTCAGGTTGGATGTAAGGAAGAACTTTATGGTAAGGGTGACCAGAATCTAGAACAGACTTCCCAAGGAGGTCGTGCAGTCCCCAATCTTGGAAGTCTTCAAGAGGAGGCTGGGCAGACACCTTGCTGGGATTATTTGATCTCAGCAGTATTTCTGCCCAGAGCAGGGGGGTTGGACTCAATGATCTTTTGAGGTCCCTTCCAGCCCTTAATTTCTATGATTCTATGATTATTAGGGCTATGCAAAGCTTTAGTTGCTGATTAGATTCAGTGGAGATTTGGCCCGATTCGGCAGCTGCATCTCTGAATCCAAATCGAATCAGGAGACCCTTTAATCTCTCCAAATCAAAATGGAACCCTCCGAATCGATTCAGGGAGATTTGGAGAGATTCGATGCTTTGGACATAGACACAGCTTTAAATGTTTTTTCTACATACCTCAAGGTACCAGTTGGCTTGTGAACACTGAGATGGTGGGGCAGATGGCGCATCCTACGGGGCGCTGGGGTGGTTCCCAGCACACTTGGTGGCAGACCCGGAAGTGGATCAGAAGCACTTCTGGTCCACTTCTGGGTCTGCTACAGAGCAGGTGGGGGACCTCCCCCCCACCCCTCAGCTCAGTGACTGGTGCCTCCCTTGGAAGTGGACCCCCCCCCTCCCCGCTCCCCCGTGCTCCTGTGGGATGCTCCATCCACCCCAGCATCGCAGTGTTCACAAGCCACCTGGTACCTCAAGATATGTAGAAAAAACATTTAAAGCTGTGTCTATGTCTGAATCAGCATCGAATCTTCAGATTTGGATTTGGCCAAATCTAATTGGGACAGTGATCTGAATCAACTAATCAAATCACTCTCCCCCGATTCGGGCTGAATTCGAATTGAATATGGCCCATCTCGCACACCCCTAATGATTATGACTGCTAAAGGTCTTCCTTACGCCACAGGGCTAGATTCATACCAATAAACCAGACCCTCACTTGGTGGAAATCAGTGTAACTTCATCGCACCAGTTATGGATCTGGTCCAGTGACGCACCTCTTCTGTTTACAGCAATTTTTCATGCTAGATTTATCTCCTCCTCCTCGCAGAATCGGGCTTTCTTCCCTTGACATTGCTTCTCAGGCAGCCCATTCTTCACAGTGATCTACTGTGTGTTTATCTTCCCCATATCTTTTTGCCCTAAAGGCCTTTGGTGGGGACAGTGCAATGCTCCTCCTTTCTCGCCAGTGCCTTCTGAATCCAGTGCCCTCTCTGTTTCAAACTATATGTTTTCCATCTGTTCTCTGCCCACCCCAGCCATTGACCCCTCGCCCTTGTATCAGCCTTCCCTTCCAATGTTGAGGTCCAGTGGGCATTCTCTGTACTGCATGGCAACAAACATTGCAGAACCTGGCCAGTCTTTCTCCCACTGTAATGACCAGTATCAAGTATCTGGCAGGTGCTTGTTCTGCTTTGGTTCTTAGTGGATAAAAGATCATCATATTGACTTTACATTTCACTCACAGAAAAGAAAAAATGATATGACCATAGTCACAGAGTAAGGTTGGAGCAGAATCAAGACTAGCACTCAGGGCTTGCACCCTAGATGCTGGAGTAAACCCTTCCCAGCTTTTGAGATGAATATTCCTTTCTCTGAGACTTCAGAATGATTCATGCCTTAGTTTGTGTCTAGCCTCTGATGGCACCAGGAACTCTGGGGATGTGGAAATGCCAAATTAAGTTTCTTCCAGGCTGTTACTTGATCAAAGTCTACACCCTAAAGACAAAGCATGTATCTCTCTTCCACTGTGCTTTTCTAACCCTCTTTGCCTGGTAGCAATATATTTTTAATTGGAGAAGATTATAAACTGCCAGGACAAGATTATGTATTGGCTCTGCCATGGGAATACTGTTACAAAAAGATAGCTTATTGCACGTACTACTTACCTTTTCCAGGGGCACTATGCTCAGATCTTCTACTTCTGGGAAGGGCTTTACAGGACCACTACAAAATTCACAGATTTCTCTTTCACTTTCTCCATGTCCCTTAGAAATGAAAGGAAATTGGTGAAGAGCTTCTTAGCTGCCTCTCTTAAAAAATGAATTGGCCTCAAAAACTACATGCCCACATAAGAAAGAGGCAAAATGTGTCATTATAATAACTCCAGAACTACAGTTCAATAAGGTTAGAGCATAAAGAATGCTAAACCCCAGAAATATCTAGGATATATTTTCAGTATCCATACCGCCAAGTGAATTACAGAGCATAACCAAATTAAAACACTTCTCCTTACTGCTTTACTTTATGAGCGTAGATGAAAAAATGTTAATTTCTTTTTATGGGGAATTTTGAAAAACAGTCATTTTGCGACCTAATGAAAAAAATGAAAATGATTTTTTTAAATCTAAAGGGTCCATTTGTTAAAAGTAAAACAAATGAAAAACAAAACTGAAGAGCAAATGGTGTTCAATTTTAAGAAACTGAAAATGGCTAATTTTTCAGGTTTTTGTTGAAAAAAATCAAAATAAAACAATGAAAACATATATGAAAGTTTTCATTTTGGAAAAAATAATCCAGCTTTCATTCAAAAAATATTTCTGACACAATCTTTTATGGCCAGCTCTATCCTTTCTGGTTTATAAAGATCATTCAAAACTTTGGCTTATTTTTTAGAGGCTTTTCTTTTTTCACTTCATTTTTATATTAGCAATACCAGCTCCTCCACTCTCTCTCTAATGGATGATCATGACAGGACATTTGGAAGGTAAGATTATCTTACACAAGAATATACTTCCTGTATCTGTCCACAGCCTTACATGCACAGAGGATTTCAACCATTGCTACAGCTACCCATTGTCTGGCCACTAATGCAAACACCTAGTATGGACAGGCAAAGCCACTATGGGCACATCCAGATGTGCAGGTATGTATGATCTGTGGCATCACAAAGCTCTTTATGGCACCACTAACGGCATGCATTGCATGTACAACAATGCAGGGGGGGGACAAAATTAGCTACAGGGATTTCCCAGTCACAAAAAAAACAACCTCCCGGGGAAAAAAAAATCAGCACAAAGCATGTGAAAATAGTAGGCACCGGGACAAGCACAGAGACAAGAGAGCAGACAGCCCAGGGCTGCCTGCTCCCCCATTTCTGCACTCTGTGGAGTCCCCTTGCTGAGACACACGAAGATGGGAGCACCAGCCCAGGGCTGCCTGCTCCCCTGCCCTGCGGCTGGCTGGAGCACAGTGTACCTCAGCGTGGGGGCTCCACAACACACGGAGATGGGGGAGCAGACAGCTGTTCCCCATCCCACCTGCAGGCTGGCTGGGGCACAGGGTGCCTCAGCATAGTGGCTACCTGCCAGCTAGTCTCACTCTGAGGCACCCTGTGCCCCAGCCCTCCCCACCCTGCCGCAGCACATGGAGCCCAGCTGGGAGCTGGGAGGAACTGGGCATGCCCTGCAACGAAGGGAACATGCAGGGGTGTGTGCTGCAGCACCAAGTAGTGCAAGCACCCCCGCCCCCCAACTCATCTGGACGTAGTCTATGAGTTGTGATTTGCCCTGGTGGCACAGCAATGCCTTACTGGAAAGCTAGATAAACTGAATCAGTGCAATTTACAGCTCATCATGACTTTGTCCATCTACATTAGGGATTTACAGTGATGTCACTACATAGGTGTTCTGTTCCTGGAAATGTTGCAGCCAAGGCCTCAAACCGAATGGTTTCTCTCTAGTTGTGTGGAAAGAGACTTGAAGATCAGATTGCAGTTTTTCATGCTTCATCATTTATGTCTTCTGAAGATTTAGCCAAGATCTTCCAGCACAAAAACAAAACTAAGGGCCCAGTAGTCCTGATTGTTCAAATGTAAAGAAATAGGATTTTTTTTGCAGGACTGATGGTCCTTTATACATCAGAGACCCTGTACTACAGTTAATACTTAGTTTCCTTGCTTTTGGCAGCTCACAGCTGGAAGGGTATTTAAATATAATTACTGTGTGTTTAGTATGAAGTGCCTCCTTCCTTCCTCCCCCAACACACCTTACCCACTTCTTAAAGGCAGCTTCTACAAGGGAATAGTCCTCACCAGGGGTGGGAAAAATGTGGCCCATGGGCCGGATGTGGCCCTCCAGGCCATTCTATGTGGCCCATGGGGCCCCTAAAAAATTTAGTAAATTAATATTTACCTGCCCTTGGCTGCCTGTCATGCGGCCCTCGACAGTTTGCCAAAACTCAGTAAGTGGCCCTCCGCCCAAAATAATTGCCCACCCCGCCTTAGACAAACCTAGAAGAACTGACAAGGCAGACTATAAAATGTTTCTGGAAGAGCTGGTATGGCCCATTATACAAATCTTGACAGTGGGCCTAATAGGTTAGGGAAGTCTTATTATCTATTAGTGTACTGCCATTATGGTCCATAACATGCTAATGCATCTGTTTTGCAGGCAAAAAAAATCTATGCACTAAAATCCTTTCAGAATAAGGAACTACCATTAGCAGTAGACAGTTTCCAAAGCCAAATTTCTCTCATCTACCTACTTCCCCATAGATATATAGTTACTTTTGGTCTGAGAATTTTCCTGCCTAACTGAGGCCACAGTGCTTTTTAAATAGCCAAGTCATAATTAGGAAATCCTGACAGTAAGTGATGAAGTCATAACTGAAATATAGCAGTATGGGAAGGAATTGCTATTGTTAGAGTGGGGAATCCACGCTTTTCCCAGCTAAGGACTATGCTGGGAAGCTCTCAGCTAGAGTAAACTTCACAGCACAGGTGGCAGTCAGATTAGGATAGTGCATTGCACACAACAGACAAGGACTTCCATGTTAACAATGAGACTGCAGTGCAGAGCTGTGTGGGTCTTATTTTTAGGAGGCTGTGAACTAGAGCAATATCAATGTTCAGAAACAAAGAATAGCCACCAGCTGAAATACTGATGCAGATGCAGGAATGGAGAGAGAATCCTTTAACTCTCATCCTTACCTTTAATTTTGGCTGGGTGATGGCTAAGCAGGGAGGCAGACCACAGCTGGGTCACCTTTTGACCTCTATTTTACTTTGAAGAGTTGCAAAACCAACATGAAGAGAAGGCAGGTATGATCACACCACACAGGCCTATGATTTTATGCCAGGAGATGCAGGTCCTACCAAAACATATACAGCTTGAGTCCATAAAACCTGCTATTAACTTGTGAAACTTGCAACCTTATTTTTCTCAAAGTCAAGTCTGAATTTCTTCTGAAGGAAACGTGAAAGTCCCATTGATTGTGAACAAAGTGACAGCTGTGAATGTGGCCCTCAGTCCCTACCAGCCTGGTAATGTGTGACCTAGATGTGCAAGGCTCCATTGCCAAATTATTTCATGGAGGAATTAAGTTTCTTCTTGAGAAAGGACAGGTGCTTTAGTTTCTAAGCTCTTGGCAGTCCTCACCTCCTTTAAGTACAGAGTAGTTATTTTCACACCATCATAAGCCTTTGATTCAAGGAGAGAAGTTTCCTCTTCTGAAACAGACCGGTGGTCTTGTAAGTTTTCAACAAGCTCATGAAGGGCTTTTTTGTAAGAAAAAAGACAAAGATGTAAGTTAGTGTCACTTCTTTTGTTCTGAACATTTTACATTTTTATGTAAAGTTTTCTTGGAAAGACACTTTGATTTAAACATTTCAAACCTGAATGCCTAAAGTTAGGCTCTCCTGGCTACACTTAGGCACCTGGTTAAGATATTTTCAAAGACGCCAAGTGCCTACAGTTTCCAGTTACTGTTGTAGGCCTCACGTGGCTTGAGCATATTAGGTACTTAACTTATAAACAGCCTGTTTTCTTAAAAGTGACTAGCAATATTGTCTGCCTGACTTCAGACATGTTGAGGGAGTTTAGAAAAAGGCCTGATCTTCAGAAACTGTCAACCACTCACCCTCTGCAAACAACATCCCCTCCAAAAATTTCATAGTCATAGAGAAGAGCCACTCATATGATTAGAGGCCTGAAGAGCAAGAGCATATGAGGAAAGGCTGACAGATATGGGATTGTTCAGCCTAGAAAAGAGAAGACTCCATGGGGATTTGGTGGTAGCTTACAAATATATCAGGGGAGAACATCAGGGGCTAGGCGAACAACTATTCACCAAAGCACCCCAGGGGAAAACCAGGAGCAATGGTCATAAACTCCTAGAAGAAGGTTTCAGACTGGATAGAAAGAAAAACTTCTTTACGGTTCACATGACCAGACTCTGGAATAGACTCCCAGCGGTAGTGGTGCAGGCACCTACCCCGGAGATCTTCAAAAGTAGACTGGATGCACACCTTACTGTGGTTATTTGACCCCAGCAGTCTTTCCTGCCTAGCGAAGGGGAACTGGACCTGATGATCTCATGAGGTCCCTTCTAGTCAGAGGTGCTGGCCAACAGAGTCAGGGAGGCAGAAGGGCAGAGGTGAGGGGATGTGGATAAGAGGGATCCTCAGCCCCAAAATGACAAAGTTATAGGTATTTCAGTGATTCCCCATTATAGTCTCTGGCCGAATCGCTGAATCTCTCTGACTTGGCACTGAATCTTCTGAAGCCGATTCAGCCGAATCGAGTCGGGACAGTGATCCGAATTGAATCGCTGTCCTCTGAATAGAATACTTCCCTTTTCGCACAGGCCTAGAAAATATCATGTCTATGGTTGATCTTTCAGCCATGAATCTGTGCTCAGATTCAGGGTAGACACAACTCACCAGCTGTTGTAGGCGCAACAAGATGACTCTTGAGAAAGCTTTTCCTCCTATATTTAGTAGTAAGATACCACTTTAGTTGTTACAGTTGCCCTTATCTCCTTTATTTTTATACAAAGTGACGATGTTTGTGTCACGCATGTCTTGTGGTACCTCACCCTCTTTCTAGCATTTGATTACCAGCTGATGAAGATATGGTAGTATGCTTTCTTTCCCGCACTTGAGAATTTCCACTAGGATGCCACCTTTTCCAGGAGCCTTGCCACTTGATAATGAATCAATGGCTTTGTTTAGCTCTTCTACAGTAGGCTCCACATTTAGCTCTGGCATGACCTGTAGAGTTGGTGTTTGGTCCAGTAATTCACTGGTGATGTTTCTTTCTTGTAAGTATAGCTCTGAGTAGTGTTCAACCCAATGAAATATCTGCTTGCTTCTTCTATCTGTAATGGCTTCACTGCTGTGCGATTTGAAAGGGGCAGCCTTGTTGACAGTAGGGCCTAGAGATTTCTTTAGATCATTGTACTTGACTTTTAGGTTTCCTGTGTCTGAGGCTGTCTGCATCTCTTCACAGAGCTTAGTCCAGTACTGATTTGCACAGCATCTGGTTGCTCTCTGTACCTTGTTTTTCTCGCTTTGGTGCTCACTGTTGGCTTCTTCTTGTGTTCCAGATAAGCTGTATTCTTGATATTAATGAAATGTAATAGTTCTTCTGCATTTTCTTTGAACCAGTCCTTATTGGATGGTCTCTTTTCCCCAAATGTAGCTTTAGCTGTTTCATTGATTGCAGTTCTTAAGCCTTCCCAAATTTCCTCTGCTTTCTCTGGTAGTGACTTCCCAAACATGCTGAGTTTGAAAGACTTCACAAACTCTTGGCACTTCTGGTTCTTGGTGTTAGTGGTGTTGATTTTGGGCTTGCTCCTAGGGTTTACTTTATGTAGTTTCTTGGCTATAATCTTCACTTTGCTAATGATCAGGGCGTAGTTGGTGTCACAATCAGCACTGTGGAATGCACGGGTCTTCTGCACCGAAGGTAGGTCTTTCCTCCTAACAATAATAAGGTCTAGTTGGTGCCTGATTGTGGATGTCACCATGGCACTTTGTGGTGATCTTTTCCAGAAAAATAAGAATTGGTAATGCACAGTTGGTTTTGGGCACAGAATTCAAAAAGTTGTTGGCCTGTTTCATTCATCTTGCTGATGCCAAAATGTCCTAGGCAATCTGGCCATGACTTGTTGTCTACGCTGAATCTTATATAATCCTAATTATAATAATACCATAATTCAAATGTCTTCTTATCATGGCCCATAAACCATAATGATGATAATGTACAAAACTTATAAAATCTGGGTTAAGAACTAAAATCTGGGAAGTTAGAATCAACTGCCCCCAGGTGATGAACCAAGCACTGCAGAGTCTCTTCTGCCCATCTTCTAGGAATGAGAAGGTGGACACTTTACATGCATTATCAGCTAACTAGGAGCATAAGCAAAGTTCCCATGCTGTGGCAAAGGTATCTCATGAGTTCTTCCCATACTCCCCAGTGATATCTCATGAGTTCTTCCCATACTCCCTACTTGCCATGCTTGTTTTTTAATACAGTCCTCTGAGCTGAGCTCAGGATGGAGCATTCTATGATAATAGATCCATAGCTAGGGACAGAAATTTTTTAAAGATTATAAACAGCATACTTTCACACAGACAAACAGGGAGTTACAATCCTTCTTTAGCTGTCTAAACAAACATTTCTACCACTGTAGCTAAAGGAAGACTGGGAGCTGGTATTAGCAGCATGCCACTTATCTCCTCTGTTGGCCAGTCACTGAGGAGTAACATTGTTTGCCCACAGTACATTATTACATGCTGGGCTTCACAATCTCTTAGAGCTACCTATTTGTATGGGAAGTGAGAAGGGCAGCAGCATGCTCTTTTTATCATGTAGTAATTAGTGGGAGCCCATGGGCAGACTTTGGTCCCTCTGACTTCAAGCATTATGCTCCTGTGAGTTCTCAGTGTCCCCTGCAGGTTCAGCAAGTGATGCATTGAAAAGGGAACGTGGTGGTGTAGAATCCTGATTAAACACCCCACACACGCCAAAAACCTAAGGAACCAGAGGAAATCTCACAAAGCCAAATCCACCTCAGATAGAGAAAAGCAGCTTCCCGAAACCTTTAGATCAGAGCAAAAGCAATTCCAAAATACATATCTGAGTAATCATGGTGCACCCACATAACCCCACATGCGAGTGAAAACAAGTCCTGGCACTGCCAGTGCTTCACAGTGAGCACATTTTATGGAAATCCAGTTTTAGTCCCTCACCCTTGTTTGTACCATCCTGTTTACTATCCTTGCAAAGTAGCAGTCAAACAGACTGGGGACCTGATCTACTTATTATTCATGGTTACAAATGATGGTGTGGAGACAGAAAGAACATAAATAGCATTGGCTCCAGTCATTTGTCTGAACCTGAATTACTCATAGCAGATTTCCTCCTGGTAAATCAAAAACAAACACTGGCAGGCTCTTAACTATACAAAACTACACAAAAGGAGCAAATGTCTTTTTGGGGTGAAGCCTCATCTTAATTACAGGAACCAATACACATTTCCCCACCTGCATTTGTAGGCTTGCTATAAAGCCACAGCGTGGTTGTTTACAGTCTGAGTGTAAACTTTCCAACTCTGTAGCTCATTTTCTTTGCTGGGTCTGAAATGAGCATTTGGGATGTGACTATTAAAAGATAATTGCATCCTGGGAAAAATTACTAGTCTCAAGTATTTGCACTCCCCAGATCATGATAATCTCCAGGCGCACAGCTAACCATTAGGAAAGTGTGTTAAACCAGATAGGCAGACAAGGTTCCTTGGGTGAATTTGATATCTTTTATTAGACCAACCCAAATGGTTGGAGAATAGTTATTAAGCAAGCTTTCGGGTTCAAAAACCCTTCGTCAGGCTCAGGAAGCTGCAGCAGTTGGTGTGTGCTCTTCCTGGATGGAATGAAAAGTAAAGAAGCCAGGGGCTGGGCTGGGGAGTCAGTTGCCAGGCAGATTATAATGTATCAAAAATCCAATGTCTATGTTTAGTCCCTGATCTCTAGTATCCAGCAGGTTGATGAAATGGAGCTCATAGGCTCGTCTCTGGGATGTGTTGTGTAAATTTCCCTTGAGGATCAGGACTGAGAGATTGGAGAGAGAGTGGCCCTTCTGTGAGAAATGTGCCCCCACCGGTAATTGGGTGTTTCTGTCTTTGATGGATTTCCGGTGTGCATTCATTCTGGTGTGCAGTTGTTGTCTGGTCTCTCCTACATATCTTCCATCAGGGCATTTGGTGCATTGGATGAGGAATATCACATTCCTGGAGGTGCAGCTGTAAGATCCTGGGATGCTGATGGCTCTGTTGTGGGGTGCAGTAATAGTGGGGGTGGTGGAGATGTGGGGGCAGGTTTTGCATTTCTTGTCATGGCACAGTCTGGATCCTTTTGGTGTGTTCTGGGCTTGAGGAAGTGTGCTTCTGGTGATGAGGTTGGCGAGGTTCGGTGCTTGTCTGAAGGCTAGGATGGGTGGCTCTGGGAGAACACCCGGGATTGCCACCTCACCAATCTTAAAAAGGCTTTCACCCAGCAAGGACACTCCTCCAGAGAGGTAGATCGCACGTTTGAAAGAGCCACCTGGATACCACGTGAAGAACTGCTGCAGTACAGAAGAAAAACACCCACAAATCGCACACCGCTGGTTATGACCTATCACCCATCCCTTGAACCTGTACGGAAAATCCTCAAAAAATTGCAACCCATATTAGAAAAAGACCCTATTCTTAAAAAGATCTTCCCAGATCTTTGGGAAGATCTTTGGTCTCTTTGAATGTTTTATGAATAGCTTTTGCTTTTGTGGAGGAGCCCATAGACTCCACCAGTCCTGTGTTTCCCTTGTGCTATGCTCTGTACAACCATAGGCATGATCACTGAGTCAGAGGCCCAACTCTCTAGGTAAACAAGACAGTTATAGATAAACCGCAAGCAATGCATTTGCTCTGACATGAAGTACGTGCCCCCCTTCCCCAAATGGCCTGGATTCCTCTTGCAATGCTGGTGCCCCATCATGCTGTCCTTTAATACAATTCAAACTCAAGTTGGCATGGAAGAAGAGAAAGGAGAGGGTCAGAGAATGGGGAAGTAAATTTAGAAACCAAGGAACCTGCATGTCTTGGATGTCCCCTCTATTCCACCAGGGCAAAGTGGAAATGATAGTGGGATAGCTGCCCTTTGTGGTCTCTAGCTGGGGTATGGCATCCATTTGCATCTAATTCTGGCTACAGTTCCCATTTGCAAGTGCCCTACACTAGTCATTTTCAACCAAGGTGCCACAAGGTACTGTGCCCTTTTAGCACTGTTAGGTGTGCAAACACTTACACAAGATTCACAAGATGAACCCAGAGATGTCACATAGGAATCCAGAGTGTCAAAAACATTCTGACCTGCTGTGTCTGAGTTGCTTGCAACAGAAGAATTATTTTCCACAGCCAACTATTATTTTTCCAGAGTCAAAAAACTAATGAAAGCTAAGAGCTTTCTGAGTGGTGCCTTAAGGTGCCCAGTAGGTGTCTTGAGTCTCAAAAGGTTGAGAGCCACTGTCCTACACTCTATCTAATACTGGGTGCAATTGCTGGTCTTTCCCCACCAGTACCCACTTACATGGCACAGCAGACCAGTCTGGGGAAAGTGAGGGAAGTGAAGTCAACTTTTGCCTTAAAACACAAAGGCTCAATTACGTGCCTCTGGTCTTCACTGTAGCACTGGAGCTTCAATTGAAGCAGCCGTGGAAGTCTGGAATTTGGGGATTTTAAATTTAGCATTTAAGGGTCACAGCCAGGTCAGGCCCCATTGTAACGGGCACTGTACTCAAGGTGTATACAACAGTGATAATCCCTGGCACAATGAATTGACAATATAAAGGCCGTAGCAGATAGATGCATATAAGGGGAAGTGGATCATTCCACTGCAATGTTTTAGTGCACTGAAGCTCAAGACTTCAATGGAAAACTTTCTGCTGACTTCTATGGGCTTTGTGTAAGGCTGTAGTGTAAATGCAGAATGGCAGAAAGGTAAACTGAGGCAGGGAAGGCATGAAGTAGTGTGTGGTAAAATGTAAGGACTCTGAGGAAATCTAGGGCTAGGACACTCTCTGACAAGACAATGCCATTGATGCCTGGAGTTTTCCACAGTTTAGCATTCTGGCTAGTTTGTGGCTGCAGCTCTAATTATCTCCAACTCTTTATCCCAGTGATTGCCTCATTTTAATGTGGTTGCATTGAATAATACATGTTTATTGTGAAGAAAGGAAGGTGTTACCACGCAGGACAAATTTGGGTGCCCTGAATACCGAGCAGCAGTTTTTGCAGAGCAGTAGGATTCAACCTGTAATCAACCTTATTAGCATTAAAAGGAACTGTCTAAAATGTCAAGCCAGGTTCAATAAGTAAGCAGTAACACACTTAGAACTGGCTCAGAATAGAAAATTAAACGTTTGGCTGCTGATTATGTTCCTTATTTTAGATTTCTGTCAGTTCTTGCTTTTTACTTCCAGTAAAGATGCGGGCATTAAGATGGTTTGAAAATGGGTCAACTTGTTCATACTCATTAGAACTAGCTTGAACTTTGGGGCTTACTCACAAGCATTTGGAAGGGTAAAAACATAGATGGATACCTGCTCACTAGGTGCCCCTGTACATCAGCCTGAAACCCCTCATGCTCTTACCCTACTGACTCATTCTTTACTGCCCTCCCACCAAGGTTTCTCTTTGTCAGCTCAGCTCATTTGTATTTTGACCTTTTCCAGTGTAGATCCCCCGTCCATCACAGTTCTCAAGGACTGAAAAGCTCAGCTAGGACCAGTCTTACTGTTTACAGCTCTAACAGGCTCTAAGGCCTTTACAGGTGCCCTGCATCCTGTTCTGCTCTACCCTGCTGAGGTGCTTTCAAATCAGCTGTGTCCCATAATGCAACACACCTTTAGTCCCTAGTAAACCCAGCTTTCCTGTATCTTCAACTCCCATCTTGATGAGTCAGTTTCATTTAGGGCCTGATCCAGTAGAATCTGGGAAGTTACAGTCCCTTCTAACAGGCTTTCAGCTTTTAATAGGATAAAGGTCCCTGGTCTCCAGTTGTATGAGAAAGCAGGTACTCTTTCCCCTGTAATTGGACAGTGCTGGGACTCAGCTACCACAGAGTACTGGAGGACTCCAAGGATTTATGCCCAGTTTGGTGATACAACTGCTCAGACATAAGTAAGAGTTGTCTCTCAACAGCTAAATCACTTGGAATACCTTCAAAATTCAGCTTCTTCCCTTTTTCTTCTTCAGCTGCATTTCCATCAGTTCTTTCACCTACAGATTTGGAAAGGGTGGAATATACATCTGGTAAATAAATAAATAAATAAATAACAACAGTGGCATGTTTTAACGACTAGCTTGCTTGTATAGTGGCAGTAGGCTGGCTACTGGTTTATGTATTTGGATTCAAGGATAGACTCACAAAGGCTCAGTTAGGCCTAGTAGTCAGGTACGTGGTCTCAGCATCTAACCAACACTCCTGGTGAAGACTCCATAAGTGTCCGTGGTCAATCATGCAACAAAATATCAGAGGAGAAACTAATTTTTGTCCCCCAGATGGTAAATCAGTGTATGCCCTGAAGCATAAAGCTAGATAGCCTGTATAATTTGCAACCTTGCTAGTGTAACTGCAGATGCTAATCCTATTTGCATAAATGTCAGCCAAGCAAAAGAAGGGTTGCTGCGATCAGCTGAGATGGGGAAGAAGAACGGAGATGAACAGAGTTTCTTGGGATCTTTCTCCACAAAATTATGAAATATCAAGTCCAGTTCTTTCCTCTGTAGAATATAAAATGCATTTCAGCTCCTAAAGTGCATGATAAGAAGGAGGGCGTGCAGCAGGGCCAGCACAGGGTTGTGTTTGTCTGGAGCTGTGCCTAGAAATAGTTTGCTAGTGTCCAATTATATTCTATTAAAATACCAGGAAATATACCTGGGTATATTCTATTAAAATACCCATCACAGAGGGCCCTGGATACACACACGTATGTCTGACCTGACATACCAGAGCTATATATGAAAGCCAGTATCAACAGTATTTAAAAAAGAAAGAAAACCCCTAACACAAAATCAAGCCATGTCTTTTGTCAAAAACATAAAAACAGACTGCTACTGCACACCTTTCTTCAGCCTTGTTCTGCCAGGAACATCTCCTATGTACCTGGTCTCCAGATACATCAAGACAACTGTTTTTCTCTTTACATGGGAGTATACTTTTGGAATATTTTGACACCAAACTTTTATAAAACCATCTTCCCCTTTGTGTGACCAGTCATCCTCTACTTTGCTATCTACCTATTTCTTTTCCCTTTTGTTTAGCTTCCAATTCATTCCCCACTTTCAAGCCCCTCCCTCCCTCTTTCTCTATCTTCTCCTCTTTTCTTAGTTTCCTATTCTAGCTTTCTTTCTTCTTCTCACTAGCTCTTCTTTCATCCTCCCATTCCTGCAGTTATCTTCCTTTCCCCTTCTCTCAGTTTTACCTGTCTACCTTTTCCGCTCCCCCTGTTTCCCTCCTCTACTGCCCTATACCCTCCTCTGTCTGGTTGTTCTTTCTTCCATTCTCAAATTCTTCTTTTTTTTTCTGTGGTATCTACAAAGCTCGTCCCCCCTTGTCAGGGCCTGCACCCAGCCATGACTGGAAAGGAAATGTAGGAGTCACTGCTGAGATTGTAGAGGGATGTCATGTGGCAAACTCCCTCCTACCTCAGGTTGTGGTGAGATTGGGGAAAGTGACAGTCTGTTGTTGCCTCCTTCAAAAGGTAGCAACAGGATCAGGAAGAGGAATGTGTGTTTCAGTATCTGTATAGGATGCCCCCAGTCGGACACTTGGATTGGAGAGCAGCTGTCTGTGGGCTGAACATCCCAGGCAGAATGGTGAGGATGTCTCTGCTGCCCGGAATACAGTGCCTCTTGGCGCCTCCCACAGACATTCAGGAAGACCTTTCTACTCTAGCTCTCTCAGTATCTGTGGCAGTTACTGCAGGTTACTGATACTTTCTCATTAAAAAGAAGTCTTTTTAGCCTTTTCATTATGCTGGGGTGGTCCATTGTGTCTGTTTTCTAGGAAAGGTCTGAAAGTCCAAAGGCTGGTAGGAAGTGGGAAGTGAGTGAACTTGGAGGTTGAAGGCATGATTAGAAAAGAAAGGGAGAAAGGTGATATCGTCGAGTAGACAAGTTCAAGGCAACACCCCCCATAACAAATCTCTGTCCATCAGCCAGAGGCCTCCTGCCTAGTGACAAATACTCCCACACCACATCCCCATGAGCAAAACCCCTTCTTCCTTTAGATGTGGCCCTGGAAAGCATTATTAGACAGCATCAGTTTCACTGTCTCAGTCATGAATGTTGGCCATCCTTAACCTACAGCATAAATAAGGGACTTCAAGACTTACACTTTTGTCCAAACTGATTGGGTCAATTGTGGGTAGAATTCTCGAGGGAACCTAGTTCAAAGGAGTTATTTAGGCTTGCTTAAACCTGCCCCCCTAGATTTAGCTTGCCCCAGCCATGACTAGTGTCACATGATTGCAGCACACCTTGCTCATCCAGTATGATTTGTTCATACTCTTTTCTTCCTTCAGCATAATCAATTTCAGTTGATGCCTCTTCTTCTGCCTCATTTTTTTCAGCTGCTGCTTCTGCCACTACCACTTCCTTCTCTTTCTCCTCAATTTCTTTGGAGATGTTAGTATAGATTACTACTATGTCTGAAAAATAGAAGTCAGAGTCCATGTTAAAAAGCTGGTCTAATAGTGGAAGGACTGTGTGCTGAACTAGACTAGGCTGATCCCTAACCATAGCCATGCAGAGTATGGGAAAAACACTCTTACCCCATATAGAAACACAGGAAATGATCATACTGAAAAGGGATGACAATCCAGCAAGTCTGGTTTTCTGTCCCAGGAAATGTCTTACACCTGGGGTAGTCAGGCCCCAGCCCACGGGCCAGATACAGACTGTAAAGCCAGCTAATCCAGCCCACTGGTCTCCCCACAGGTCTGGAAATTTGGTGGTGGAGGAGCAGTGGCAATTAATACTGTCACCACCCCCACCACCAAATTTTCAAGCCCTATGGGGCTGGATTAACCTTGCAGGGAGGAATTTGGCCCTGTTCCCATGTGACTGGATCAAACTGAGTCACCAGGGCCCAGTGCAGCTGTGAATGCATCAGCCAGGACCTGATGTGGATGTGCAGCCTGATGCAGCCACATGGATCGGACCCTGGGTGGGCCTTTTCTGCATGGTTGAATCAGGCCCTGGCTAGGCCAGCAATGTGTACTAGGGATCTAACCTAGGGATCACTCATATAGCCCACAAGCTGGAAAGGTTGGGCACCACTATCTTAAGCAGATACTTTGGGGAAGAAGACAATTCCCCACAATGCAGCCCACTAGTTATGGGGCCATTGGATTCCATCCTGAACCCATCTAGGGCTCAGTTTGTATCAGGTTAAGGATAAGGCTCACTCGTTCTCTTATATCACTGTAGCCACAGTAGTACAAATTCAGTTGCTCTTCTGATTTAGACAAAACCATCTAAATCTCATTTGAATCTTGCTGGCCCCAGGCACCCAAACAAGCCCTGAGGAAGAGAGGGACTGGGTTTGGTCCCAACAGCGTATAATCATGGTGTTTGTGAAGGCAAGAGGTATGCAGGAGTTAAAGGGCTGAAATCAGAGGGCTGATGGTTTGAGTCCCTTCCTGGTCACAGGCAAGAGAGGAAGGTAGTCAGGTAGTAAAGGTATTTCTATGTGATTCAGGAGGCCCTGTGGGACTTGAGGCTGATCACTAGTTCCTTATCTATAAAATGGGGAAAAGGTAGTACTCTGCCTCACAGAGGTGATGACTCAGAACCAGTAGAGTAACTATGAGGAGAGTGACCAGGGCAGCAGCTCCAGCTGCTGACTTGGGGAGGGAGACGCAAAAGTAGCAGATGCTGTTGCTGCTGGCCATGTGTATCACCACTGCCCCATGCACCATCATGGCACAGAGCTGCCCTCTGATGCCTCTTTGGAGAGCCATGATCACAGGGAGACCACATTAATACCTTAAGCCACAAGCATGAGCTACAGAAACCAGGCTGACCTGCACTCTGAGGAGATACCGAGATTTTTTTTTATGGAAAGGTTATCAGGCAAGGAGACTCCTTCTGCAGTGGATAGATCTTGTGTTCACATGGGAAGAGCTCAGGGGAGCTCCAGGCCTTCAGGGCATGTCTATATTGCCTCTGTCCCATGCCTGGGAATGCCACTGTGATGTATACTCTGCCCACTTACTCCTCCTCCATGCACACCCCATTTGGGAACTGAAGCAATGTTGCTGCAGTAGAGCATGACCAAATTTACAGGCTGTTTTGGTATGCACTCAGCTTTGTTCTAAGGTGGTCACAGTGCTTCATTTCTGGGATTTGGCATAGGCAAAGTGGGAGCAAATGAGTAGGGTGAACTTCATGGTAATGGTCTTTTGTTCAGCAGAGAGGCCACGTAGACATGTCCTACAGATCAAAAATTCCAAGGCAGGCACTTAACTGGTATCCATGATGTGTGGATAACTGCAACTATACAAACTGTTATTTGCATATGTGGTCACAAATATTTCATTGCAACCTAGTTTTAACATTTGCCCATTGTCCAAGGGAGAGAAGAAGGGCAAGTGTTAAAACTAGGTTGCAATGAAAAAATGTATTAGCCCAGGAAAGCCACAATGGCTGGGAATGTTTGCTGGGTTGGCGTTAGGCATGTGAGAGGCAAATGATGAAAGCAAACACATTTATCAAATTATTAGTTTAGGGTTTAATTTCAATTCCTATTGAACAGGAGAGTCTTTCTACTCCATCTGTGGTCCCACTGGCTTCCCTGGAAACAACTGCAGAGTAAGCATATGAAAGTGACTCTTACTGCTACTCACCTTGACTTTGGATGGACACGGATTCTTCATCTATGACTTCTGTACTCCTCACCTCTTCTCCAAATACTAGAATAGTTTAAACTTCATGTTTTAATGATAAAGCAAGCTTAGCAGGTGAAGAGGGGGATTAAATTTACTGATTCTGTGACTACAGATATGAAATAAATCTTAGATTCAATGATAGATCAATAACACCAAGATTGGGTTTAAATTATTAATAACCTATGAGAAACAGGGATAATTATTCTATGAATCATAGTTCTCTAATGTACTGCACATTATCTCCCAAGACATCTGTACTGAAGCACGACCTGCATATCTTTGGCAAGAGACTACAGTGAATAAGTTAATGTCTTTTGTTTTGCTTGCTAAGCATTTAATAGATTCAGATGTGGGCTGTCACAGTCGGGTGGCAATGCATTTTCTGTCATATCATCATGAACATACCAATGCTTTTAGTAACTTAACACAGAGGCTAGCTCAGCTGGGGCCATATCCAGTGTGAATGTGTCTCTGCAACATCACGGTGTGGCTCTTCTCTTGTGGGTATGCATTTCTTTTAGAGGCAGGCACTTCAGCCCCAAAACCAACTCCCTTTTAGGCAGGTCGCTTTACCCAGCTAGTGTTAGCATCAGAAAGTGGTATTTTGGTTCATTAATGCAGGTTTTAGATCAGATCTGTCCAACTAGTGGCCCCAGGTCTCCCAGTGGTTTCCAGGTTCCCCCTCCCTTCTCTGGCTTTCACTTACTGCCCTTGCCTCCAGGAGGGCAGGGCAGGGTGGTGTGACTCAGTGCACCCTGCAGTGTGAGGGGAGCCCACAGTGTGGTGCAGTGGGGGAGCCTGTAGCCTAGGGGGAGAAAGATGCCCATCCATGTGTGAGGTGCAGTGGTGGATGGTGCAAGGGAAGCTTGCTGCTGGGGAGGTTAAATGGGGGGGAGGGGGTCTGTGGCCCTACTGGTGTGTTCCCTATGGTGCGCAGGCCTGGGCCACTAAGAAGTTGCACAGCCCTGATCTAGATTCTAGTGTGGCTGCTCACAGTAAGTTGTATTACAGCACTTCACCACCAGGTGGCAGGAGGTAATAGCTTGTGTGTCCATAGCAGTAGGTCACTACAGGGATGGCCCTCAACAGGATACACTGGTGTTTCCCTTGATTTTTCCCAGGGTAATTTTACTGATGCAAGCAAGTTACACTGGGGTAGGACTATATGCTGTGCACCTGCTTTTTGTTTACCACCAGCATGAACATGGAGTATACTAATCTAAATGTGTTGCATACTCACACCCTAAGTAAAGAGTTGGTCCTTCAAGGGTGATCTGCCATGATCTTATTCCTAGGCAACCAGGGGAAGTAATCTCCTCACTGCAAGATGCAGGAGAAGGAAGGGCCATGTTTATTAACCACTTGACTGGTGGCCAATTCATGATTTTTAACATACTCGCATATTTGAAGTGAAGTTTTCCTAGTTGGCAATTCCAGCATGGAGCAGGAACAATCAGGGGAAGATATTCATTAGCCCAAGGGGTCTTGTAGCAATCATGGGGGGTTGGCAAGCAAAAAGGACCTTTCCATAACTAAAAACATTACTAAGTTCAGGGTATTGAATGTCCCCTTGCTTTTATCTAGAATTTCACAACCCCCTGAAGACTGATCACATGAGAGAGCCAGTAGCCCAGTAGCCAACTAAGGCAGTGAAATGGGTAGCTGGCTGGCAAAGAACATATGTGCCCTGAAAACTGCCTACCACAAGGCCTTTCATATATTGCCACTCTGGCTCCCAGGTCTTGCAAGGTCTCTCTGTAAGTCCAACTCTTGGTCAAGTTCTTGATCCACTGCAGACTGGCTCTTTCAATCACAGGCCCTTGTAAGCCAGGGAAACTTGACTCAGGTGTTCTGAATCAAGTTCTGCTGCCACTCACCAGTCATAGAATCATAGAAAATTAGGGTTGGAAGGGACCTTAGGAGGTCATCTAGTCCACCCCCCTGCTCAAAGCAGGACCATCCCCAACTAGATCATTCCAGCCTTTGTCAAGCTGGGACCAAAAAACCTCCAAGGATGGAGATTCCACAACCCGTTCTAGGTAACCCATTCCAGTGCTTCACCACCGTGCTAATGAGAAAGTTTTTCCTAATATCCAACCTAAACTTCCCTTGCTGCAACTTGAGACCATTGCTCCTTGTTCTGTCTTTTATGCATCATCAGCCTCTACACTAGCCTCAGATCTGAAGTGACTTCTATGCATACATATATGTGGATCTGAACACTGCTATCTTGGTCAGTCTCTGTACAAACCTTGGCTTATAAATAAAGCAAAACAAGCCCGTGTGTAGAATTTCACCTGCACAGCACAGAATACCAGGAGGGCAACATATGTTAGCATATCAGTAATGAGGCACATTTATCCTCCTGTCAAATTGCTTCAACTATATCAAAATTCATGTTGAATAAAACCTTCCCTATTTTACTGAGGCCACAAAGCCATTTTTCAAAGCCAAGGCATGATTTCATTTTTCACAAGCTGGCTCATTGGGGAGCAGGGACCCGTGCTTCTGGGCAAACTCACCATCCTCATGGGCATCCAGAGACTTCTCTGAGTAGCCCCATTCTGTCTGGGTCATCAGATCTTCCACGTCATACTTTCTGCTCTGAGGGGAGGTGGGAGAGCTGTCCACAGACTTCCTGCAAAAGGGGCCACATTTGCTTGACTTTAATGTCACTAATAGGGACTAGAATGGGACCAAAAAATCATCAGGATTTGGGACTTTTCCTAGAAATAAGACATAGACTCAGATTTTTAGATGCAACTCAACCCTTAACACTCCCAAAGAGCATCACTAGGGATCCATTGGTATGGGAGAGAGAAGCAAGCCTCTGGGCTTACTACTTTCATTACATCTGTTTCCTAGGGATTTCTCAATGAAGAGCAACCAAATTGTGTGCCTGAAGCCTAACCTCAGTTTGGATAAATGCACTGCTTAGCTCATCTCACACTCCTCTGCTACTTCTGTGAACCATACTGATTGCTTTTGCTCAGCTCCACTGTGCAGTGCCACACTTGCTCTGCATGCCACGTGCACCACAGTCCAGGAGATAGGTTGGTGTAATCTGTGGTGCAGAAGGAGGTATGTGTTCTGGGCCTCAGCATGTCTATCAATCCGTGAGGTTCTACGAATCCTCCTGTCATTCTGCACTTTCTTCTCAACTAAGCTCAACTGGCAAATTGTGAAGTTGTTTTGAATTGCTATTAGGGAGCTGACACAGCTCTTTTTGGGCCATTGCTACATCCCTGTAATGTAGGTAGGTGCTGTTGCACCTCTTACTCTTAAAAGCTAATTTAAAGGTGTTTCACAGTTTTTATCAGTATCCCATTCCATATAAGAAGCAAAGGCAACCAAAACATACATAGGGCCTGATTGGATTTGACTCCAGAAAATCATGGGAGGGATTTCTTTTTTATTGCATTAGTGATTCCATTAGCTTGTTACACATCACTGCCTTTTTATTAGGTGCCTAGGAATTTTAAGAGATTCTTGATGCAGTACACCTGGGAGTAAACACATTAATGGGTGAAGGCCTCACAGGGCATAGGGAATCTAAGCTATTTGTATAACTCCCCAATAACAATAATATCTAGACACCTCACTGTCATTTAACATATCATAAAAAATTAGGGTAGGAAAGGACCTCAGGATGTCATTTAGTCCAACCTCCTGCTCAAAGCAGGACCACCCCCAGACCATCCCAGCCAGGGCTTTGTCTAGCTGGGCCTTAAAAACCTTCAGGGATGGAGATTCCACCATCTCTCTGGGTAACCCGTCCCAATGCTTCACCACCCTCCTAGTCATCTCATCACAGAAGGCAATCAGTCAGGTTGCTGACTGTTCCTGATCACTTTCTTTTCTAAGTGCTTAGAAATGGATTCCTTGAGGACCTGCTTCATGGTTTGTCCAGGGACTGAGGTGAGGCTGACTGGTTTGTCGCTCTGGTTCCTCCTTCTTCCCCTTAAGGATGGACACTATATTTGCCCTTTCCAATCATCCAGGACCTCCCCCAATTATCATGAGTTTTCAAAGATAACAGCCAGTGGTACAGCTGTCACGTCACCCAACTCCCTCAGCACCCTCAGGTGCATTGCATCCAGCCCCATGGGCTTGTACACATCCAGCTTTTCTAAATAGTCCCTAACCTGTTTTTTCATCACTGAGGTCTGCTCACCTTCTTCCAAAACTGTGCTGCCCGCTGCAGTAGTCCGGGAGTTGACCTTGCCTATGAAGATTGGGGTAAAAAGGCATTGAGTACTTCAGCCTTTTTCTCATCATCTGTCACTAGATTTCCCCCTCTCCCCCATTCAGTAAGGGCTCCACACTTTCCCTGTCCCTCCTCTTGTTGCTGACATACTTGTAGAAACCCTTCTTGTTACCCTTCATGTCCCTTTCTAGCTGCAACTCCAAATGTGCTTTGGCCTTCCTGATTTCACTCCTGCATGCCCGAGCAATATTCTTTTACTCTTCCCTAGTCATCTGTCCAAGCGTCCACTTCTTGTAGACTTCCTTTTTGTGTTCTAGCTCTTTGAAGAGTTCCCTGCTAAGCCAGGCTGGTCACCAGCCGTATTTGCTAGTCTTCCTGCACATCCGGGTGGTTTGTTCCTCTGCTCTTTAAAACATTTCTTTAAAATACAGCCAGCTTGCCTGGACTTCTTCCTTCTCAGCCTGGCCTCCCAGGGGATCCTGCCCATCAGCTCCCTGAGGGAGTCAAAATCTGCTTTTCTGAAGTCCAGAGTCCATATTTTGCTGCTCTCCTTTGTTCCTTTTGTCAGGATCCTGAACTTAATCATCTTGTGGTCACTGCTGCCCAGATGCCATCCACTACTACATTCCCCACCAATTCGTCCCTGTTTGTGAGCAGCAGGTCAAGAAGAGCATGGCCCCTAATTGGCCGCTCCAGCACTTGCACCAGGAAGTTGTCTCAAACACTCTCCAAAAACTTCCTGGATTGCCTGCACACTGCTTGTATTGCCCTTCTAGCAGATGTCAGGGTGATTGAAGTCCCCCATGAGAAACAGGGTCTGTGATCTGGAAACTTCCACTAGGCATCTGAAGAAAGCCTCCTCTACCTCATCCTCCTGGTCTGGTGGTCAGACACCCACCATGACATCACCATTGTTGCTCTCCCCTCTAACCAAAACCCAGAGACTTTCAACAGGCTTGTCTCATTTCATATTGGAGCTCTGAGCAATCATACAGCTTTTACATATGGTGCAACTCCTCCTCCTCTCCCCTGCCTGTCCCTCCTGAACAGCTTATACGCATCCATGTCGGTGCTCCAGTCAAGCAAGCTATTCCACCAAGTCTGTTATTCCAATCATGTCATAGTTCCTTGACTCTGTGAGGCCTTCCAATTCTTCCTGCTTGTTTCCCAGGCTCCATGTGTTCGTGTTCAGATACCTCGGGTAACTATCCAATTGTCCTACTTTCTTACTAAGAATAAATAGGCCTCCCCTGTTGTCCCGTCCTTCTTGTGCTTCCTCCAGGTCTCCTGCTTCCCCACTTATCTCAGTGCTTTGGTTTCCATCCCCTGGCAAACCTAATTTAAAGCCCTTCTCATTAGGTTAGCGAGCCTGTCTGCAAAGATGCTCTTCCCTCTCTTCGGCAGGTGGATCCCATCTCTTTCTAGCAATCCTTCTTTATGGAACAACATCCCATAGTTGAAGAAGCTGAATCTGTGCTGCCAGTACCATCTGCGCAGCCATGTGTTGATCTGCAGGATGCATCTGCTCCTGCCTGGGCCCTTCTTCTTGATCATAAGGATTAAGGAGAACGCCACCTGTGCCCCCATCCTCTTCAACCTTGAACCCAGAGCCCTGTAGTCACTTTTGATTTGTTCAGGGTCACCCCTGGCAGTATCATTGACACAGTACTCCAGATGTGGTCTCACCAGTGCTGAATAGAGGGGAAGAATCACTTTCCTTGACCTGTTGGGAACACTTGTACTAATGCATCCCAGTATACCGTTAGCCTTTTTGGCAACAAAGGCACACTGTTGGCACATATTCAACTTACTGTCCTCCGTAACCCCAAGGTCCTTTTCTGCAGAGCTGATACTTGGCCTGTTGGTCCCCAGCCTGTAGCAGTGTATGGTATTATTCTGTCCTAAATGCAGGACTTGGCACTTGTCCTTATTGAACCTTATGAGATTTCTTTTGGTCCAATCCTCCAATATGTCTAGGTCTCTCTGAATCCTAACCCTACCCGCCGTGTATCTACTACTGCCCCCGGCTTGGAGTCATCCACAAACTTGCTGAGGGTGCACTCCATCCCGGCTTTCAGATTGTTGATGAAGATATTGAACAAAACTGGGCCCAGGACCAACCCCTGGGGCATTTTACTTGATACTGTCTGCCAACTAGACATTGAGCCATTGCTCACTACTCTTTGAGCCTGATGATCCAGCGAGTTTTCTATCCACACAGTGCATTCATCTAACCTGTACTTCTTTAACTTGCTGGCAAGAATGGTGTGGGAGATTGTATCAAAAGCCTTGCTAAAGTCAAGGTATATCACATATACTGCTGTCCCTGCATCCACAGAGCCAGCCATTTTATTGTAGAAGGCAATCAGGTTTGTCAGGCATGACTTACCCTTGGTGAATCCATGTTCACTGTTCCTAATCACCTTCTTCTCCTCCAAGTGTTTAGAAATGTAATAATATTTTTCTTATTTTCCCCGGCTATTTACTTGGTCTTGTGAACACCCGTAGGTGTTTTTAGAAGCTGTGTGGCTAATCTCTCCTCAAATCACAATGAAGGCTTTACCCCAGGATAATGTTTTCCCCAATCTTTCAGAAATTTGGGATGAATGCTGCCTCTGCTCTTTGGGGATGCAATTCAAAAGTGCAAGCTGCACACTGTTTGATACCCCATAATGAATATATTTCACTGCCCCTTCATGCAGCTATGCAATAAAGCTCTCTCAATAAAAAGCCTATTATATCCATTTTTTCTGTATTAAATACAGGTCCAGGAGGTAACATCTTTTAGTATTGGAAAAATTACTCAAGTGTTAATAGACAAAGGAACTCTGTCAATGGGTCAGATTTGTCTGTAGTGTCATTTTTAGTACTCCAGAGATGAATTTGGTCCAGTTTATTTGGGCCTTCTGCAGCATCTCTGTTTAATTTCTCTCAGAAAGATTAGATATGTCTAACATTTATATTGGAAGGCCTGAAACAATAGGCCAGCTCCTCAGCTGATGTAAATCAACATAGATCTCCTGAAGCCAGATCAGCAAACAAGGGAGCTAGTTTACCCTGGTTGGGCATTTGGTCTACTGTTTCTCTCACACTATAAAAGCGTTTTGTAAAATAAAAATCACATCACATCTCTCCATGTAGGCAATGTCCAGGGCTGTTGCACAGGATTTATTTTCCTTTAAGAAAGAAACATATTTAAGTCTACACAGGTTGACACTGTCGCTTTTAATATAGCAAGCAATGAGAGTCCCAAAGACAATTACTTAGACAGACATAACTTCCAGATTATTAATAGCACAGATATAGCAGATACTGCCAGATTGTGAATGTTCAAGACATACTGTAAATCTCCAGTTGTTAGGTGTTCACAGTACTAGCCTAGATAGAGTATAAATATCCTGTAACTTGACTGAATTAGATAGAAAAATGTTACCAATTACTCTCCTTACTTCGATTCCTTTGACTTAGAACCAACATGCAGAGTTGATGGAGAATCTGTCTGACATTCTGGAGAGGGAAAAAAAAACTCTTTTAAAACATATTGTCTTTTCCTGTGGAACAGTGGGGCATTTTAGTATTGAATTTTCTTGCAATTTCACTGTTTCGTATTACAGATAAACCTTGCTGTCTTAACAGGGAACATATTCTCATCTGTTTTAATGATACAATAAATTTTAGGTGAAGGGGGAAAAATAAAGCCCCCAAAATGAGTTGTAAAAAAGCTCTTGTAGTCAGAAGACAGACTTTTCAGGAGGAGATGCAAGTATTACAATCAAATTTACTTTGCCTTCCTATTCAGTTCTCATTGTAAGCAGCTTGGATCATATCATGCCCTGCAAACTGTACCATGTGCTAGTGCTAAGATCAAGGCTCTTTTTGGGGATAAAGACATGACAACGTGCTATCAAAATAACTCCACAATCCTAACAACATGCCATGTATACTCCTGCCCAAAGCATGCTAGGTTATGTTAGCTTCAGTGATAGATGCTCTCACAGCAATATGCCATTTTAACTCCCACTGACAGCAAGACATGTGAACTCCTGTCATACACTGCAGGCCACCCTGTGTTTGGGAGATGTGGACAAAAAACAGTCTTTCATGCAGGGAGTTAGACTGGCTACAGATTGGCACAATCCCTTCATTTTTCCTGCACTCAGCAGAAGAGCAGGCTCCTGTGGACATTTCACTTAGTCTACCAGTGCTCAAGTGCATTCATGGCAGCAGGTTCTCAGGGAAGGCACTGAACTGAGAACCAGAGTAGGACTGTGTAAAATATACTGGAAGGGGGCTATGGATAAAAAAGGGGGAAAAAGCCAATCAAAGACCTAAAGAGACAGAGGGGCTGACTGTTATTGGACAGACAGCTGAAAAAAATTGTCCATATAAGTGTCCTGCTAAAATTATGTTGGCCACCTTGTTTTGAAAGAATGGCACAACATTTAAATCCCACTAACCAAAATGCTATTTTTAAGCTCTTGCATGCATGCACATTCCAGTGTGCCAAATTTTATGGGCCAGAGTCACATTCATGCTTGGGTCCCATGACACTACTCTGGCAGTATAAGACTGGGTATTTGGTTGCCAATTTATCTCCACTTTTAAGCTTTTTTTAAAGTGCCAGAGCAGCATAAAGAAGAGGGAGTCTGAAAGTGAAACTGGCTCCAGCTTTTTATAGGAATAGTGCCCGTTATAAAAGAGTTGGTATAGAGCTGTGTACACAGTATACCTACTCAATTTTTCTGCAACATTTATACATGGATGTAGCATTCAAACATTACTAGAGAATGTTCATACCTTTTGTGTATTTGCTTTCAGTGCATATTTTTGCAGGTGAGTTTACTGATGGAAGTTTGAGGAGATGCCAAATTTTAAGCAAACATTGGAAAGTATTCCTGGAAAGTAAGTTCTGAGATTGCAAACGTGAGTATTTGAAACTGAAAACTTTGTGCTGTAGAGGTTGTGAAGAACTTTTCAATTTGTTCTAGAATCAATTTAAGCACTAACGTAACAAGGCTCTGCCAGATGCACCTAGTTTGGTTAACCCAAAGAAAGGTGGCTTTAAATCAAACAGTTTTAAACATGGATGCAGATGCAATAGCTTGTCTACGCTGGTGGGTCAATTGTTTTAGAACCAGATAGAAGTATTTTTGTTGGAAATTTCTGGAGATCAGACAATACTAAGACTTGCTGTCATCCAACCAAGAAACAGAAGCATAGCAGTTGACCAAATTGCAGCATACCATATGATCAAGTTGTCTCAGATCCAGCTGACTCAGTCCAAATTTTAAACATAGACTTCTTCAAGAAACAAACAAGCTATAGTTTGCCAAACTGCATTAAGCAATGTTAAACTGAAAAGACATTGTGAACAACCTAGAGTTTTCCTCACTTATCGAAGTGATTAAGGTAAAAGTCCTCACATGCATTTTGCAGCTACAGATTTTTTTCCCCTAGCTTTAATCTTTTTTTCTGCCTTCTCATTTATTTTTGAACACTGCCCTGAAAACATTTCAGTTTTTGTTCTTGGTGAAAAAAGTCAATTGAGTAGGGAAAAAGTGGATAAAATTACATTTGGAATTTCCCTTTTTTGCCAAATTGTGTGGCGGTAAGAATCTATGTAAATTTTATTGAGTGATGGTGCTCCCTGGGGCCCAGAATGAGGTCCTGCCAAAGCCACGTTTGATTTTCAATGTTAAGTTTGTTCTAAACTGACCCCCTCCTCCCCCAGTCTAAACTAAAGAAAGCCCAAGGTTTTCTTTACAGTCTCTGCATTTTAAATTGCAACTTAAAAAAGACTGTGGCCCAACATTTTAATGTTTTGCTGCATTCAATAGACTAGCATTTGTAGAGGTTTTTCTATGCATTTAATTCTAGTTAGTTGACAGCATCTTTGACCTATTCTGAGGTGAGGGGGGAGGGGGGGGGGAGGCTGGGACTTATTGCCAAGGATGCGGCTCATGTGAGTACGTGCTATAAATGCTTAATTTCTTTGTGGAGAAGAGAGACTTTAAATGGTCCTTTTACATTTTAAAAATAAATCTGCTAGGTGCACAGAGATGCCTACTGTCATTCTAGGGAGATGTGCAAGTCATGTGGTGAAAATGCATAGTGTATTACTTCAAATATAAGATATCCTGGGATTTAAGATGCACTCAGTCACATATGATGACTCCCAATTAAAAAAAATCCACACACACAAACATGAAATAAAGACACATTTATAAGGATCTGCATCTCTACAATGCATGTAAGAACTTTTTATTTTTTAATTTCAACTGAGATGTGGGCCATTTTTAGGAGAAATATTTTATTTTAAGAGCGTGCCTTATACTTGAATAAAGTTGGGATCTGAGAGGAAAGCACTTCCCTCTGGAAGGAACAATGCATGAAGTCCATATAACATAAGCAAACATTTACATTATGGGCTAGACCAGGTGTTGGCAACCCATGGCCCACAGGCCTGTTCCAGCCCAGGAGCTGGGGTTTTGTTGGGAGGAAATGGAGCGATATTCAGCTGCAGGGGCTTTGCCCGTATCAGGCTGCACTGCACCATGGCTGGGCAGCAGGGAGCTTTCCTGTGCAGTGAAGCAGCTGTGTGTTGGCAAGAAGCGGTGGCAGGGAGAAGTGGCAGTAGCAGCCAGGTCTTAGTGCTGGTCTTCCTAGGATCTGAGCTGGACTATTCCAGCCTACTACCACAAGACATTGCAGACCGCTGGGTTAGCCTGTACCTTGAATGCAAGCTCTGCTTTGGTGTCCATGTTACACTTAAAGCCCTGTTAGTTTGTAAGCAGGTGCAGTGTGATACCCCTTCCCCTCTGAGCCTCTTTGGAGGAGGGAACAAGACAATAGTCCTTACCTTGCCTCCACCTTAAGAATTTACATATAGTCAGATGGTCCCCAAAAGCCCCAGGTTGGAATCTAGGCCCTACTGCCATAAACGTGGCTTATGTGAAGCACAGCTCACATGAAGACAAAAGGTCTGGGCATGTCTGTCTTGCTTCTGCCTCACTCCTGAAAGTCCTGCTGGGAATCATGGCCCTGCTGATCCTGCTCCTGTTCCCCACACACCATACTGGGAAACAAGGCGGTGAGGCTGCCCTGAGGGAGTGCCCTGTGGCACTCCTGAGCCCCTAGACCTGGACAAGGTAGAGAGTGGCAGTGGAGAAAGCAGAGGGCACCTTCAGGGCAGCTTCACCACCTCATATCTGGAATTGGGGTATGGGGAATAGGAACAGGTAGGTGGAGTGTGTGTCTCAGTGGTGCTGTCAAGAGCACCACAGAAGCAGTATAGACATATAGTAGCATAACTAAGGGGGAGTGAGGTGATGACTGGGGCATCTGCTGGGGCTGCACCCCATCAAACTTCAAGTGGTGCGAACATAGCAGTTGCTGTCCATCCGGCTGCACTACCAGGTGCATGGCTGCTAGCCAGGGTGCAGAACTGCCCTGGTACATTTCTGTAGTTGTGACCTCTGTCCCACACAGCTCAAAAGCTAGGATACCAGTCCTAGCACAGCACAATGTCTGTTTGACCCTGTTGTGGCATGATTCTGCTTTAGCCTGAACTCTTCCTTAGCTTGTGTTTGTCTGGGATTTTTGAGTTTTTTTCCCCCATTTGTTTCTTAAAAATAATTAGGAAGCGACAAATGACCTGCAATAAAAGATCACTATTAAGGTTGCAAAGTCAAGCACTCTGAAGTTAGGAAAAGCCAGACTTACAGGTTGCCTGTGCAAACTTAATTTGGCTTCCTTGTGCTGTCTGAGGAAGCCTAATTTCCATGTATGACATTATACCGTTTTTTTGTGGAATTCCTGCCTCATTCAGTGTGTGCCTACTTGGTACATCAGGGTTTTCTAGAAGGCTGATGTCTACAGTAACCATGTCTTACTTGTGAATGAAGCAGATGACTATAGGAAGAGAAAGCAGCTTCCTGGTTAAGGCACCTGAATGCTCTCTTGGATAGAGTTACCACATGTCCAGGTTTTCCTGGACACATCCTCTTTTTGGGTCCTCCCATCTCTGTCCGGGAGGTTTTTTTAAAATATCAGCAAATGTCCAGGATGTTGCTGTGCCTCTGCTTTCCTGGTACTTCCCAGCTTGGGGCAGGGGGCAGTGGTGGAAGGTAATTGGGGGCCAGGGCATCAGCGAAGTGTGTGTGTGTGTGTGTGTGTGTAATGTGTTTGTGTATGTGTGTACCTGCCAGTGCTAGGGCTGCAGCAGGGGAAGGGAGTAGGAAGGTTCTTCAGGGGCAGCAGGGAGCTATGTGGCAACAGGGTTGCAGGGGGAAGGGGCAGGGGGCTGCAGGCTGGGAGTGAGGGGCACTGGCAGGGCTGAGAGGGACAGGAGGCTCTGGTTCAGGCCTGAGGGGCACCAGCAGGGCTGGGGTGGCAGGGGGCTATGGGTCAAGAGTGAGGGGTATCAGCAGGGACAGAGGGGTTGTAGGTCGGAAGTGAGAGGCAGCAGCAGGGCTGGGGGTGCTGTGGCTTAGGAGTGAGGGCAGGAGCAGGGCACTGGCATATCACCCAACAATCATATACCCTCCCCCATCCTTCCCCCCACAGGTGTCCTCTTTTTTGAAACTGGAAATATGGTAGCCCTACTCTTGGAAAGCTGGATTCAGTCTCTGTCTCTATCAGAAAATATGTGCCACTGGGCAAGTTACTTAAATTACACTTTCCAAAGACGACCATTAATTGTGTGTGCCTCATTTGCTGGATGCCCAACGTGATACTCAGGGGTCCTGTCATAGGCACAACCTGGGCATAGGGAGTTTGGCTTGGTGTTAGAGGGTCATAACCCAGGAATCCAGAGTTGAGGGTCTAGGCAGGGTTCAGGCTAGGCAAGGGGCAGGCTATGAGCCAGTTTAGGTAGGAACTAAGAACAGGGAGGCAGGCTAGGAAGATGTTCAGGCAGGGACTGCGCAAGGTCCACAGCAGAAGCTAGGCAAAGGACCAGGGGATTCAGAGGCACTGGTTAGGAGATGTTTAGTTACTCCTGATTAGAGGTGAATTACGATTTATTGTGGCCCTGGGAAAACACAAAATTGGAGGCTCCCTGTCCCGCATGGGAGCTGGACTCCAGCAGGGGCAGAGGTTCCTTCCCCTCCTGATGCTGCTGTTATCAAGGACACGGTAGGCCTCCATGCCCCACGAGAGAGGCTGGGTGGACTCAGCTGGGAGGGAAGGGGTGGTACATGTCCATCTCTCCTCCATGCTCCTCATTCCCCCTCCCCTCACCATAGCCAGAGTGGAGCGCAGCGGGGCGAGGGCAGATGTGGGCTTCCCACTGTGGGCTCAGGGCTCTCCCTCCCCACCCCCCAGGCCTCCTGGATGAGCCGCCCACAGCTTCATTAAGCTCCCTGCCTGGGCCCCGGGCTCCTATTCACCACCCTGGCTGGGCAGCACCCCCAGCCTTAGCCCCTGTCCCACTCCCTCCCTCACCATGGGGTCCTTGATCTTCCCACCATGCCCCTCCCCTCCCCCACGCCCCTTCCCCCCATTAGATTTACTTGCAGGAAGCCAGTTGCCTGGCTGTCCTCCTGGCCATATGCAGCCATGCACATGTACAGGGGCAGAGCTCGGGGGGACTTTGGGGGCGCTATAGCCACCCCAAAATTCACCTTTGCCCCTCTATAGCCACCCCTCGCAGCACTGCCATCACCCGCCTCCGCCTGCAGCCCAGAGAGGCATGGAGTGCCCAGCCCAGCCCAGCCCAGCCCTGGCCCTCCCCACATTGCTGATTGGTGGAGGGGCCCAGCTTGTGGCTCACTTCTCATCATCAGGGAAGTGAAAGCTGCGGTTTGAAACTTGGCACCGTTTTTGTCTCCCCCCTGGTCAACAGCAAGCGGAGGGGCCGCTGGGGCCCCTCAGCCAATCAGCAGTGGGGAGATAAAAATGGCACCAAGTTTAAAACTGTGGCTTTCGCTTCCTTGCTGATGAGGAGTGAGCTGCAAGTGGGTCCTCTGATTGGCAGGGGCCCCTGGGCCTAGGCCCCATTGGCCTGTGCATTAATCCATCTGTGCTCCTGATTTACACCAGTCTGAGAGAGGAGAATTTGATTCATAGTTAGGTATTTCTTACTAACAGTTTTAAAGACAAACTATTAAGCATACCCAAGAGAGTATATAATGGGGACTCTAATAAGAGGTGTTTAAAACAGCATGACACCGGTGCTGAAGCAAACCCATGGTGGGCAGGAGAGATGTATTGTAAACTTGATTTTTCTGATTTTAAAGACTACTTTAAAAAATAAATGCAGATGAACAACTCTCCCTCCCTCCAGTATCTGCCTGGCAATGCTAGCTGAACCATCTGAGAAGCAGTGGAACGCTGCTAGAAGGAGAGGATAATGTGAAGAATTATAGTTAGATTTAGATATTTGTATTTTTATTAAGTGTCCATTTAGATACGTCTTTTGTTCAATGTATTATGTTAGCATGTCATTTATCCCTCTGACTGCTGAAGACGGGCATTAGCCACAAATTCCAATCTGGATTTCAAAGGCTCCATAAATTCAGAGGTGTCAGTTTAACTCCTGATATGTATAGGATAGGATTTCCAAAAGCACTCTTCCTCTGCC